TTTTAGGTAGATCAACCTCTTTTTGCGCCTCCCACAAAAGCAGTTCCCACCACAGAGATAAAGAATGATTTCGTGTTCTCATTTGCTCCTCCCGTTGAACGCTTGCCTGGGAAAGAGTCATTTGTACCTTCTACCAGTGACACAAAGATTGTAAGCGATACGGACGGTGAGGAGACTGGCAGCGACGATTCGGAAGATGAGGAGGACAGCTCTCCATCGGATATGGAAGAAGATAACGCGAATAAAAATTCGAAGGTAAGCTTACCATATGTAAAACAGATTGGAACTATATTTTCGTTACAGTCTTCTCGTCCTCCAACTGCTGCTGATAGTGAAACCTCTGCTATCATTTCGTCCAGCATAACACCTGCGTCCTCGAACGATGCCTCTCCTCAGACAAAGGTCGAGTCGTCATGGGAGTGCCCGGATTGTTTCATAACCAATAAGGTTGTTTCATCACATTTTGCAAAGGCTTGAGCTCATGGTATATTTATTTTTAGAACGTATCGGTTTGCGTAGCGTGCGGTCACAACAAAGACGGTGGAAACGCTCCCAAAGCTCTTGTCTCCAATATCTCTTCATTCGCGAAATCTGCACCTTCTACCACATTTAGCTTTGGATTAACGTCTGGAAAATTGGCAAATGGAAGTAGCAAACCTAGTGTTGCTACAGCGATACCTTCCAGCACAAGTGAATCTGCTTCAAAGGGTTCAGTTGGTGTGAGTGCTGCCACTGCTAATGCTGGTCCTGCACCGGCTGTGCTCTCTGTTCCCGTTGCATCTCAAGCTGATTCATCTACGGCTATGGCCAAACCAATTGAGAAGGAAAAGGCAGGCGATTCGGATAAAGAACGAAAAGCTTGGGATTGTCCGGACTGCATGGTTCAAAATAAGGTTTGTAGTTAGTTTTAGGTGAACTAGTACATTACACATGTTAATTTAGAGCAAAATTCTTTTTGCGCGAGGTTTTTTTTATCACCTGTGAATAGCTAGCACGCGATTAGTGTTTTTCATGGATATTAGTGAAAATGGCATATGATATTTACAGGCGACGGATGACAAATGTGTATGCTGTGGGCATGTCATGTACAAATCAAGTCAAGAGACAACATCTACC